TTCTCCTACCACTTGTCTCCACTTATTTAGGCGCTTCTTCCTCGGGCTACCATTAGCTGCCACCACCTCCGTGGAAGAAGAAAGGCTGGGGAGCAAATAGAAAGCCAAGTCTCCACCATCTCAGTGCATGTCCCTGCCTCCTCCTTCCCTTCGGCAAACGGCAAATAGCAAGGAAGGACCAAAGGAGAGTATATGTCCATCGCCTTGGGCGTTCACTCAGGCTCCAAAGACGCTGCCGAGACCAGCCCCGACATGGACAGAGATGAGCACAAGGACGAGGGAGCCATCGGCGATGCCGACAGGAAGCTCAGCTGCACCTCCGATGTCAACGAAGAGGAGCATGGCAGCGACAACGAGGATGGCGAAGAGAAAAGGGCCGTCGTCCTCGGCCCGCAGATTGCACTGAAGGAACAGCTCGAGATGGATAAGGTGTGCGCTCTACGGTGTGGGTATATGAAGGATATATATATGCGACTGCACTGTTTTAGATCTGATCGGACACGTTGTGGTTTCTCAGGATGATGAGAGTCTGAGGAAGTGGAAGGAGCAGCTGCTCGGTAACATTGATCTCACCGACGTCGGAGGTAGTCATTCTCTGATCGGATTCTGCGAATGTATGCAGAGTAATCCAGTTTGTGTCTGTTTTCGTTTCGATCAGAGGTTCTCGAGCCGGACGTGAAGATCCAAGACCTCACGATCCTGACCCCGGATCGCCCCGACCTTGTTCTTCCCATCCCTTTCGTCCCCGACGCCAAGGGCTTCGCGTTCGCCCTCAAAGACGGAAGCCACTACCGCCTCAGGTTCTCCTTCACCGTCTCCGATAACATCGTGTCCGGGCTCATGTACACGAACACGGTGTGGAAGAGCGGGATGAGAGGTACGACCCGAATCTAATGCCTGCGAGCTCTGCAAGCAACCAATATATATACACCCTGTTTTATCCCTGCGCAGTGGAGAACACGAAGGTCATGCTGGGAACGTTCAGCCCTCAGAAGGATCCCTACACGTACGAACTGGAAGAAGAGACCACCCCGGCAGGATACTTCGCGCGGGGCTCCTACTCTGCCAAAACAAAGGTAGGAGTCGCCATGAAACCTCCTCCATCCTCAGTTTCTTCTTCGACTCAGCTCCTCCATCCTTCGTTTCAGTTCGTGGATGATGATGGGAAGTGCTATCTTGACCTGAGCTACTACTTCGAGATTAGAAAGGAGTGGCCAACGCCTGCTTGACCGTGGAATAGTGTCTTCCATCGATGACTAATAGTGATTGTTTGAACAAAGATGTTTTTGCTTTAGGAACGAACTTTGTTACTTTGGCTCCTCTGACAAGTAATTCCATTCGCAATCAATGCTGTCTCTCATGCTCTTCTATATCATATCCCCCTAAGATAGCATTCACTATGCACTTTGTTTACGTTCATCGCAAGTGTTACAGAAGATTCTGTACAGCTCTCGATTCACTTCACACCAACCAGCAACTTGAGGAACCGAAGCTTGTCCTGGATCTCCATCATGTTCGAGGGGTCCTTCAGGGAGATGGGTGGCTCGACACCGGTGAAGATGTAGAGGGCTCGGAGTTCCTCCACGGTCGACGAGCGCAGTGCATCTCTGTACCCCATTATGGTTCGCAGCGCGGAGATCTCTTCCCAGATCATATCCTTCCTTTCGTGCCTCTGTTTGCAACGCGAGTAATGCGTAGGCTTTTCAGTACAAAGCAACAGAGAAATCAAAGACCAAGATGAGCAGCATCCAAATGATTCAGACCTCATATGGAGATGTCTTGACAACCATGCTGGGTTCCAACGTGAGAGTCTCCGTCTGAGCGTCCATGGAAGGCTCAGTTGCTGATGTTTGCTTGCTCTGGGGTGCCATCGCTTCTTGCTCTGCCACAGGCGTCTCTCCTTCTTCCCCCTCCTCTTCTACATCTACAATGAACCTTTCCTCTCCTTCCTCTTCTTCCGGTTCTGCCAGGGAAGCTGGAGGGAGAAGAGAGCTCATGACCTTCTCGGTAGCGGCCATGGTGGCCAGGTACAAGCCGAACGGAACAGAGAGGGCGAGGCCGACGGTGGAAGCGACGCAGTAGGAAGGGATGACGATGGGAGCCGCAGTGAAGGCGGCCCCGGCGATGGCGACCCTCTTGCCCAACCGCCACGCCATCTCGACCCACCCTCTTCCTCCTCCTGCCGCCGCTTCCTCTTCGTCATCCTCCGAAGCATCCCCGGAGCTCGGAATCGTCTCTAACGCCATCAACACCAGCAAGCTATCGATCGTGCGGATGGACGGTGGGTGAGAACGAAGAAAAATAGGTGCGTATGGCGGCGGCGACGGCGGTGGGAGAGGACACGCGTGGCTACCATCGAGCGTGGTCGAAGATGGCTTTTTACGTGGATACCGGCAA